GGGTCAACTGATTTAGGCATAAACTTGGCTGATTTTAATAAACATAGGTATGCTCTTGCTGATTAGTGCAATATTTTATCTATGTAGCTGCACTTTATACGTTAAGTGCATTATTTTATTTTTGGAGTGGGCTCATGGTTTCTGAAGTCAATCTAAGTTTCTTTACTCCCTGCCTGTTGAATAACGCATCCGCCCGACTCTTCATTCTAGGGGACGAGGCCATCCCGCTCTGATTGAGGCCCTGGAGTCTGAGGAGAGCGTCCTGGCGCGCGGAGACGTCGACATCGTCGAAAACGCTGGCTTGAAGCTGGTGGTGGAAGGAGAAACTGTATGTGATTTGGGAGAATGCGATATCGCCACCCGGCTGCTGACATGGGCGATAGCGCATACTGTGTTTGGGAAAACATCCACTTGCTAAAGCTAAAAATGTGTTAATATTTGTACAGAAAGCAGCCCTGAGCGTGAAGGAATCAACCTGAATAATTAAACATGCCCGAAAGGCTCTGGAGTTCTTTGGCTTGGATGTGTAAGGCAAGTGATACGACGGAGGGGAAAGAGTTCCTGCAGGCTGATTGCGGGCTGATCGCAGGCTGAATGCGGGCTGGTTGCGGCCGCTGATCGCATGGGCTGGTTGCGGGCTGGTTGTTCCCATGACTGGAGACTTGCAGGCTGATTGCTCAGAGTAAAGAGGAAGGTAATACATTTTAAGGTGTATCAAATACTGTGTTTGCGCAGCAGATGTGACGGCGCAGGTCGATAGCCATGCATGGGAGGTTCAATAGGCGAATAAACGGGGATTTTACGGTATTGCAATAGAACTGAAAGGGTTCTACAACCGATATTCAGAACACAGGGTGGTTTCCCTATAAACCTCAGGGACCTCTTCACAGACCCTTTGGGGTTCTTATCTAGGTGCTAAGAACGCTCTTATTATAAACCCTAAACCTCATAAGAGTCTTTGGAAGAATCGTGTGGATTCTTTTGATGAGAATGCAAAGCCGTCTACGTGAAGAACCATGGAGGTTCTGAAAAACGGTGGCATAACATTTTACCCCACAGGGGTCTAAATACCCCTGTACGTTCTTAACGTTCTTCCAAAGTGTTTTCAGTGTTTGGAAGAACGTTAAGAACGTACAGGGGTATTTAGACCCCTGTGGGGTAAAATGTTATGCCACCGTTTTTCAGAACCTCCATGGTTCTTCACGTAGACGGCTTTGCATTCTCATCAAAAGAATCCACACGATTCTTCCAAAGACTCTTATGAGGTTTAGGGTTTATAATAAGAGCGTTCTTAGCACCTAGATAAGAACCCCAAAGGGTCTGTGAAGAGGTCCCTGAGGTTTATAGGGAAACCACCCTGTGTTCTGAATATCGGTTGTAGAACCCTTTCAGTTCTATTGCAATACCGTAAAATCCCCGTTTATTCGCCTATTGAACCTCCCATGCATGGCTATCGACCTGCGCCGTCACATCTGCTGCGCAAACACAGTATTTGATACACCTTAAAATGTATTACCTTCCTCTTTACTCTGAGCAATCAGCCTGCAAGTCTCCAGTCATGGGAACAACCAGCCCGCAACCAGCCCATGCGATCAGCGGCCGCAACCAGCCCGCATTCAGCCTGCGATCAGCCCGCAATCAGCCTGCAGGAACTCTTTCCCCTCCGTCGTATCACTTGCCTTACACATCCAAGCCAAAGAACTCCAGAGCCTTTCGGGCATGTTTAATTATTCAGGTTGATTCCTTCACGCTCAGGGCTGCTTTCTGTACAAATATTAACACATTTTTAGCTTTAGCAAGTGGATGTTTTCCCAAACACAGTATGCGCTATCGCCCATGTCAGCAGCCGGGTGGCGATATCGCATTCTCCCAAATCACATACAGTTTCTCCTTCCACCACCAGCTTCAAGCCAGCGTTTTCGACGATGTCGACGTCTCCGCGCGCCAGGACGCTCTCCTCAGACTCCAGGGCCTCAATCAGAGCGGGATGGCCTCGTCCCCTAGAATGAAGAGTCGGGCGGATGCGTTATTCAACAGGCAGGGAGTAAAGAAACTTAGATTGACTTCAGAAACCATGAGCCCACTCCAAAAATAAAATAATGCACTTAACGTATAAAGTGCAGCTACATAGATAAAATATTGCACTAATCAGCAAGAGCATACCTATGTTTATTAAAATCAGCCAAGTTTATGCCTAAATCAGTTGACCCCAAAATGGCAAGCTGATTCTATTCCTGATTTATCTTCATTTGGTAGATTTGTCTAAATACCACATGCATAATTTAAGCAATGGGGCATTTATACAACATATAAATACTTACTGCATTGATTGGTCTTGCATGTGAATTTTCTTCATCCAATGCATTCATCCATGCATTTGAAGAGCGTTGTGATATTGCTTATCATTGTCAATCACAAGTAATATAGATAATACACAACACTTGACAAGCCAAAAATTAACCTTATTTCAGTTCTTCAATATTCGATCCTACTTGCCATTCACGCAATCTTGCACCAGCCGCTCGTCACTGCACAAAGCGTGATCCAACGCGATCGAAAAATGGCGATCGCTTCCGGTGGACGCTAGAACGTGGTACCGCGGGCGTGGTCTTGATGAAAGCCATTACACTGATCAAACCACAACCCCTTCTTCTTAAACCCGATGCTAGTTCGTGCAAAACCTTCAAAGGGTTTATCTTTCGCGCGCTTTGTGTGACGTAATATCACGTGACTAGGGAGAACGAAGAAGAACCGGTGTTGGTCGAGTTGAAGTCCCCTGGGGCCGCCAAGACTGCACGCGAAGAAGCAGCACGTGTCTTCGGTCTATGTGAAACACTGTGTGTGTTCTTCATGAACCAGACGTTCTGCTTCGCCTCTAAGCCAGTTTACCCTAATACCCAAAAAACCTAAGAGTGGAATATTTTAAGATACTTTTGCATTACGTTCTTTCAACTTGTTTTCAGTGAACACAGCATGGGGATTGGCAAATGGCGGGGCACCCCCTTTGGGAGGTGATGAAGGTCTCTGGAAACTTCATCCCTCATCTCTTTAGCATTAGTGGCTCTCCTTATGGAACAGGTTTCTTGACTGGTCTGTTTCACCCCAGAATTCAAAGACTAGTCAAGGTAAAACCGAGCGCACCACAGTGAGCACAATTTGATAAGCTGGTGTATCTCAGTTTCCATGTAGAACCTTTCACGTATCACGTACCTAAAACACTTTCGTGCACTCATGCAAAAGCAACTGCCATGTTTCAACAGCTGGTAATGGCATTTTCACAGCCGCTGACGTAAGAAGGGGAGGGGAGGGGGGCTCGATTAGACCCCCAGCCGTTCGGCCGCCGACCGAACTTGTAGTTTTGCAGAAAAAAACGAGTGCTATCGAACCCCTTGACGAGAGGGAGCCGATGCTACCAATTATAAGGTCTTGGGCTACTGCGTGCTTTTTTGGTCCTGCCTGTGATCTATCCGAACACTTCTCCCCACAAGTGCTGGGGTTAAATGGCATAGATTTCAAATGGTTCCTGTGGTAGAACTGCCATGCTTGAATTTGACTAATTAGGAATGGAAAATATCCATATAGTAACGGAAATCTATGGAATTTCAGTTAACTTGGTTTTGTCGGCAATGGGGTCTGGCAGTGGGGTGGGGAGGTAATAACCCTGCCTGGCGCCCCAAAAAGGGGGGGCACGATCCCCGAGGCCCTGCCGATCACCTTATAGGCATCACAGCTCCACACCTTTTGCAGATGGCCAGGACCCCCTGCGATACATCCCAACAGCAATCTTTATTCAGAACCTGCCTTGATTAACCAACGATGCATTAAATGCGACGGATAACTTTACAATGCATTATTATCAACTATTGAACGGGCCTCGCCGATAGGTGGGTACTGTACCCCCCTAACTTTCGATAGCGGGGGACCTGTCCCCCCCGTCCCCCCCCCCCCCGGTGGCGCCGCCCATGAGTATAGCCTGTTGGTATATTTCATTTGAATTAACATACGGCACTCGCAGTTGTGAATAAAAGGTTAAGCATTTCACATTCATAAACGGTTCAGAAAAGCGTCTGAACTTTTATCAGACATGTAATGCCAAACTTCCACAAGTCCCAAAGCATAAGTTAAATACTTCCAAGCAATATCTCCCAAAAATGTGTAACAATGTTAAAATAAACGGTGCAAAATTGTAACAGCACGGAAGGAGGATTTACGTGTTGGGTGCATTACCTTCTCATGCATAATGCACCAACGACGTGTTCAGTACGCTGAACTGTACTTGCGCCCGCTGTGGCGTATATGGTCGTCCGCCCGGTCTATAACTATTGGCCAGAACAACATATTTAGCTTATGAGGGGCAGCTGTTAGAGACGAGACGTTGAATTTCATTATCATTATCATAATCATATCTCTAAAGTACTAATTTAACAGCCTGTTAGCGCCTGGACATACCTACGCGGTGTCAGATATCTAATTAATAGAAACACACTCTCACAAACCCCTGAAAGGCAGACATTTGCCGAATTTCAGATCCAGTAATGTCATGATGATTTGATTTGTTGTTCGCTCGTAAATCAGCCCACCAATCACGATGATATAAATCACATGTTCAATACAAGCCAGGAATGGGCTACAGCTGAGCCCCTGTTCACGATTGATGTTGATGTGGGAAATTTCGACAAGCATACAACCAAATTAGACCCTGGCTATTTGCTGTCCCGCTATTCATGCATATGTACAATGGCTATTTTTGTACTTTTCACTTATTTATAAAATTGGAACGTTTGTCCCTGACTGGTCCCCTCCCCCCAATGTCCCTTACTGTCACCCGCCGCCCCAACTGTCATTCTTACTGCCCTGACTGACCTCCTGCCGTCTCTAACCGCCTTCTTCCCACCTGCCCTCAGCTGCTGGCTGCTGCTGAGGAACACCCAACAGCACCTGTCGGGCACCAGCCCACCGTTTCTAACCATTTCTAACCACCCCCTAATCTCCTGCCCCAGCTGCTGCTAAGGAACACCCATCAGCACCTGTCGGGCATCTACGCGGCGCTCGGCGACGACGAAAACGCCCGACTGCAGGAGCGCCTGGCCTCAGTACTTACAGAAGAGATGGAGCTGTACTGTGCCGTGTGTAACCAGCCGCTCGGGCAGGAGCCGGGAAACAGTCTGGAGGCGCTGCCCTGTTCACATATCTTCCACCAACAGTGAGTGGGAACGGGTGGATTCATCGGTCGATCTATTCACGTATCGTTCACATATCAGTAGGGCCAGGTAGACTCTTCTCGCAGGGGTCTAGCGATGCTTCAGTTCGATGTCAACTCAGAATATGTTGGACTTCAAAGTCAAACTTACATTGATGCCTTTCAGTATATTTTATGATACCAGAGGATAAGGATATTCGACCATCTATATTCCTTTTTATCACCATGTCATCGTCAACTGTCGTCATCTTTACCTGTTCCTCTCTTGTGACACTTCTCAAATATCAGCGCTGGATAAACTTCGGGCATGAATAAATCGAGAAAATATGGAAATATTTCACGGGCGTATTGTTTGCTGCCATAGCCGCCGACTTTCTCATGCAAATTCGCTTTCTCCAGAGTGAATAATCGAGCCGCTTTTCTCTCCCGCAGATGCGCTCGCGAGCTGCTCTCCAAGAGCGACAGGCGCAAGAAGAAGCGCATCTGTCCGCAGTGCCGGAAAACGGTCAACTCGCGGATGATGTTCGTGTGCTACGACGACGTGAAGTACGACGGCCACTACCCGGCCTTCCTGGCCAATAACACGACGCACGTGCAGACGCCCGACCACCCGTTGTGATATGGGCCGCCGAGCTCTGAGGTCGCGCCGGCGGGTCCGCGCGCGCCGCCGGCAGGCGCGCCGGCCGACGCGACGGCGCCGACGCCGCTGCCGGCGCCGGCCCGCTGCCTAATGGCGCGCGCCGTCACCGCCGAGGCGCTCGTGCAGGCGATGACGATGCTCTGGATACAGCGGCGTGACGCGTGACGCGGGTGACACAGTGTGACGCGCGCGACCGGTCTTGGCCGGCGCGGCGCTCAGGGACTCGGCACGGGACGGTGCGTCTGGCGGCGGACAGTGGGGTGGTTGTTGGGCTGTTGGCGGGTCGGTGGAGCCGCTCCCGGCGGCGGCACGGGGCTGGATGTTGACTGGTTGTTGTGGGCGGGTCGTGGAGCGCTGAGTGGCGGCGGAGGCGGCGGTGTCGCGGTCGCGGAGACAGCCGGTCTCTCCTGTTACACAGGGTAGAACTCCGCTTGTGTCTGTGACCTGGGCCGGACTCATCCTACCCAGGGTGACTCGCCGCAGGCACTGACCGCCGCTCAACCGAGCGTTCGGAAAGATGGGCGATTGGAAATGGAAATCATGAGCGTCGTTTGTAGGCAGAACGGCCCGGTGCTGCCTATTGTTGGTCTGTGCCAAAGGCTCTAATCTGAGAGCCTTGCAAAGGCATTTAATTGATGTCTTGACTACATCAGTTGGAAAATGTGGAAAGCAGCCTCATTTGTGAGGCAGCTCGGTCACGACTATCACAGTACACCTTGGCAGAATCGACGAATCGCATCTACCGAATATCACCAGTAAGAAAGGAGCAATACTTCCAATACCACGGCGCGTTTGGTGATGGCAGTTGGTTGCCTTTGTGCTTGATGAGCCCGAGGGGCATTGACTTGTTTCTGTGCATTTGTTACGGCAGCGCAGAGTGCGCTCACGGGTTTGCGGCGCGCACGGTGCGTCGGGTTTGCCTCTGCGCTCCGATTACCTGCTCAGAGCGCCCGGCCCCACATCTGTTGTTTGACGATCTTGCGTTTGGACTATTTTGCATAGGTGCTTTCTCGAAGGACTATGACAAACAAGTGTGCCAAGCGCGTGCACGCGCGTGCGTACGTGAGCGTACGCGTGCGTGCGCGCACCGCGCGCCTTCGGGTGGTCGGGACCGGCGGCAAAAGCGGCGCCCGGTCGGCGCGCTGCGCCCAGTGCGCCGGCCGCTGCTGCGCGGACCGCGCGTTCGCCAGACTGCCAACATGGTTGCTCATTCCCTTGCTAACTTTAAGCCTCATAGGTGTAGCTGTTGCTGTTGATGGTGGCGAGATAGCTGACGAGAACTGGTGCCGAGAACCCTGACTAAATTCACCCTCCACCGGCCGACCCACAAAGTAGGATTAACTTTTGTACATGGTGTTTGATATCTCTCGTAGCGGCTTCAGTTGATTCCAGGACCTAGTTTCATAAAACGAGTCCGTAACTTACGCCGGTTTTTGGTCTTGTATTGCAAGTGCATGTGAAGTGCTGACGATAGTTTGAATCGTTGAATTTATTTATCTTGCAAGTAAGAACAGAAGGAAGAAGGGGAAATAGATTTATCACTTCACATGCACTTGCAATACAAGACCAAAAACCGGCGTAAGTTACGGACTCGCTTTATGAAACGAGGCCCAGGTGACCGCTCGCCCCCGTTGCCCGGCCCCAGGACTGTTGTGACGCGGTGCCCCCAGCCCTGCTCTGCCCCATTGGGAGATTGTTTGCCGGCTGCGTTGGTGTGAAGTGTGACAGGTGACGAGGTGAAGTGAAGTCTGCGGTTTGTGTGAATCCGAGGGCGTTATCCGGGATTCGGCGATGGATTGGTGTGGAGCATGACAATGAAGGATATTTGGAGCTGTGTGAACATGGGAAACGTTTGATTTGCGAGTGGCTCGTGGTATGTGACATATGCTCTTCTTGCCTGTAATTTTTTATCGATATTATTGAAGTCCCACTGTCTTACCAACACTTAGCTTCGAATAAATAAGTTAAACTAAGAGACCGGGCCTTTGGTTGATACAATGGCGACTGATACGTAAGCGAGTATTTGTGAGATATTTGTAGAACCGACACGATTAACTTTCCTCCGATCAGCACCTTGCAGAAGGTATTGCATGAAATAGTGCATCTGTAAAGTACAATGATTCACAATTGAATTCGTCCTTAACTTGAAAAATGAGGTATCCAGACTAAAAAATTTAATTGCTGTTCGGAGAACAAATACTTATTCGACACTGGTAACTAGAGCACTTCATGGGCCGGATAAATCCGTTATCCACGGATAAATCCGCGGACCGGATAGGATTGGATTCTAAATTTGTTAAAAAAGAACGGATATGGGCGGGCCGGATTTGGGAATTGAAGGTTGAACCCGGATCAAAACGGATCAAAATTTTAACATTCAACATTGAAGTTAAAAATTAACCTAATGTGTTAAGCGGCAGCAGAGGTTTGATTAAAGTAATAGGCATCATTTTATGACACTCACTTGTCACAAGACTTGTATGGCTGTCTGGTCCCTTAGATTGAATTTGTTAGTCCAGTTTTGGGTGAAACCAGTTATTGGTGAAACGGATTATTACGGATATTTTTTGGAAGTTTGGCTGCAATACGGGCCATGGGTGGGCCGGATTCTGATATTCAAAGAAAGGCGGATAATGGGCGGATCTGGATATGACTTGCCGGATATGGGCCGGGCCGGATCCTAAAAAACCTATCCGTGAAGTGCTCTACTGGTAACTTCTCTACATTAAACTCTTCTCAATCTATTGGTCATTTTATTGAAGAATGGAATAAGACGGTATTGACATTAAGTATCAGCGTTAACTTTTCAATCAAACTTGTAGAATGCTATTAGTAGTGGATTACGCGTGCTACACTTATCGCTTAATGACTAATTAAATAGAGTAAAGTTTTAATGGGGTAATTTAGATCCACTCTCCTTCTAAATGTCTTCTCGCTTAAAGTCGTTTGGGGATTGATCATTAGAAGAGACAACCATGATCCATTCATCATCACCAAAGGACAGCACACTTAAAACTTGATACGAATGTTTATTAGCTTTAAAACCTGATACGAATGTCTATTAGCTATAAAATGCCAACACTGCCGGTGAACATTTTGCAGTGGCTTTGGGCAAAGTCAGAAAAACGTATCCTTACAGTGTCCCATCTTTATCAAAACGCAATGAACAAAGGAAAACGGAATGACCCTAGCTTAATTGAAGCCAACACCATTCAAAGAGTTGCGTGACATTTAACGTCAAAGGAGCATAGCCGTCCTATTTCTTGATCATTAAAGTCATAGAGCTAAAGGTACGAGTCAAAGTCAAAGAGTCATAGGTAGGTAGGTACAGAACATAGGTAATCCATAGGCAAAATATTACGTTTTTGCACAACTTTTCATAGGACTGACATGAGACGAGGACAACGAGGATTATCTCAATATTTCTAGCATTTTGCCTTTTGGCTCTGATTGAGTTTCAGCCATCCCCGAACCGAGCGTAAGAATGGCTCGATACGAGAAGCGTCGATAACTAGTTTTGAGTGACCTTAGAAATTTAGTTAAGGTAATAAGGTGCTGACACTATTGGTTTTCACTGATAATTTTTATCCATAAATCATCGCGATTATTGATATTGTGCTCATTTCTTCCGGCCGCATCGGTTGACATCTTTTTATATGCTCAAGGTAATGCACATTTGGGTATCGAGGGGCCCAAAGCATAAGCAAATTCTGAAACATGGTTTGAACCGGGACGCTCGCCACTTTCACTGCCGGTCGATGGCTAGCAAATAACAAACACCAACGAACGATTTCGCAAAGCAACCCGCATTACCAAACGGCCCGAGCTCCCATAGATCTTATTCACATTACTATTCAGTATTCACACTGAGTATCGAGGCCGGGAATATGGTGTTCGAGGCCGCCATCGCATACAAACTTTTAGTTCCAGAGTAGATACTCGCAAACCCTTATCTCCACTCAAGGACTGCGACGAGCCACGGCAACACTTATCCAGTACTGGCACAGGCAAGTGGAGGCTTATCTGGCACATGACTACTTTTACGAAAATGCTGAATGTCATGCTGGTAATGTCATTGCAAGAGGTATCAAGTTATTTTGGCATCAAATCTTCAGTCCTTAGGGCTCTAACGATGAGCAAAAAGTAGATATATTGGTGATCCAACCCTTCTTCAGTTTATATAACATTATCGAAATATTACCATGCGTATTCATATGTATTTGTCATTACGCTTACGAGCAGTCGTTCCCAATGTGAATTCAGAAGTGATTACGGAGCGAGCGAAGCGAGCGTAGTCTTTCCTTAGATTAACCCTATTAGTGGCAGGGGGGGGGGTTGTTTTTATCCACCCCTCAGGGTTTTCGGGAATATCTCCGAAACCGCTGAAGCTACGATGCTGAAATTTTCTGACTTTTCCTATAACTAAATTGGGTACATTCCCTGAAAATTTCAAGTTCATAACTTTACCAGGGGCGGCTCCAGAGCACTGGGAATTGGGGGGTCCTATTCGTGAAGCGAGTCATTTGGGCGAAGATCACGATGCTGCACCAGTTTTACGAACAGTGAATGAAAGGTATCATGTGATAACATATACAAAGTTATTGTGCATCCTCTTTTGACACGTTTTTGCTATAATAGGCGGATCCAGGCGTCCAAAAAGGGGGGTTATTTTTTACCTCCCAACATAGGTGCCCTGACACCGCCTATGCATGACCAATACAATTTTAGTCGTTCTCTCATAAGAAAATTGTAACATAACAAGACCATTGCCACCCTTTTTAGAAACAGTACCGACAAAAACCTTATTTACTATACTTTTTGTGTACCCCCAATCTCAATGATCTGTATCCGCCTATGATTTTTGAAAATGCATATTTTTAGGATCCATGTGAATTCCTGGTTCATTCTCTATCGATCGGCAAAAGTTGCGTTAAGATTGGTTCAGAAACCTGGCCGTGATAAACAGTCTAAAATGTATCTGCAATTTGCCCGTTTTTACCCCCTCTACCCCCCTATTGACATTTTTTTTTTTTTTAGAAATGTAGATCTCGTTGAGCCAAATCGAATGCCGTTTGAATTTTGAAAATCGGCCGGTTAGATCTCGAGATATCAAGGGGGGTCGTAAACAGCCCCCCCCCCTGCCACTAATATGGGGTAGCCAGGAGCCTGCCACTAATAGGGTTAACGGAAATTTCTGAGTATGAGCGGCCGGCCGGCCGGCCGGCCGGCCGTGGTCACGCTTTTGCGAGGCTTATATCTCAGCAACCACTTGACCGATTTACACGCGGTAATTTTTGTAGGGTAGCTTCATTCCTTCTACCAAGTATTGGACTATTCCTGATGCATGTGGGTGACCCCTTATGCACGTGCCACTTGCAAAACGAAGAGGTGTCCGTTTTGTAATTGTTGCAATATCTCGGTAACTACTTGGCCGATTGCGCTGAAAGTTGGCATGTAGGTAAGCACCCACTAGGCACTGCATATACATGTGCCAGAGTTGGGGTGCTGCTGCACGTGCGCACGTGCAGGGGTCGTTTCCAGATCTCTGGAACGGCTGGACCGATTGCGCTCAAATTTGGTACACGGTTAGGGACCGGTTAGTAGGGTGCCGTGCACAAGTCAGTTGGGACCCATTTTGCACGTGCGCACGTGCAGGGTGCCGCTTCCAGATCTCGAGAACGGCTGGGCCGATTGTGCCCAAATTTGGCACATCGCTAGAGACCAGTTAGTAGGGTGCCGTGCACAAGTCAGTTGGAGGTACCCCCTCGCAATTTCGCACGTGCAAGGCCCACCCTCTCGCTCGCTCCGTTAGTCGCCCCAAAAGGCGTTATACTGGTAAGTCGAAAGCGATGCATAAGAATTACCATTTATTTTCAACCAATGAGGATTAGGTGAAATATTGTCTCGTGCTTAAGACCAAGGTCATTCATTCCTTCATACTTTTTTAGCAAAACCAAAAACAAATTTAGGCACACACAAAACATAAAGCTCGAAATGGATATTCATAGTCATTGACTATTGTCAAGCTGCTAAGCATTTTTACCGCAATCAAGTAGAGAAATGAGTCGCATTCTTTGTTTAACGTAAAAGGCACACTAATTTTGAACGTGAAAAGCATTGACGCGCCAATGCCTAGACACAAAATGAAAATCGTCTTAGTGCGTCATACGAGTTACCTGGACTGAATTTTAAAATGTTAAAGCTCGAAGGTCATATGAATATGTTCTGTCTGATATTGGCATATCGACCGCAACATGTTGTCAACAGTTAATATTCGTCACGTCTTCAATCTTCAAGCTGACAGGATGATGCTGATGACGGTAAGTGTGGCCCTCTCAACCCGCGCCGTAGCGAGGAGTCTCACATCCCGCATAGCCACCTTTCTGA